TAAGATCTGATTTTTAAAAACAAAACATTTTATTTAGAAGTTTGCAGAAATAACTATTTAGTTCGGTTGAATGGCACATCCTAGAAAAATCTGGAATTAAAATTTCTTTCTCATGTTATTTTTCAGAAACTTTCTCAGTTATTCCAAATAAGCTTTGTACTGTAGATCTTATTTAAAATGGTCTTGATAGTAAAGATTTAGCCTCCTTTTAAATTTCCAGGAGGATGGTTTGCCATGTTCCTCCAATTATGTGAACTTTATTCTTTACTTTCCTGCGTTACCTCCCCGTTAAAGTGTTTGGGAAAACTGTTGGCACATTGCACATACTTCAACGCCATATTCTTGTCTCCTAAGTATTCCCTTCATGCCATGTACTATTATTTTAATAAAACCATCAACTTCTTTCTCAATTATTTAAAAGAATTTTCTCACATAAACTGAGTTTCAAATGCCACACGAAAATAAATCAGTGTATTTTAAATAGCATCAGATGGCATCCATTTTTTTACTAGTTGGTATATTAAAATGAACTAAAATAAAAACTGCAGTGACGGTAGATAATCTTTTATACTAATATTCCATCAAAGGATACGTTTCTTTAGGGCATCATTTTTCTTTTTCCTTATTATATTTGTTATCTTCAGTTGCAAAAAGCTCAAACTTGACAGCAGTGTATTAAGTGTTAGGAACATAAACATATTTCAAAATGTGTCATTTCTGCCCTAGATTCAGTCAACAATGGAGTCAATCACAAATCACAACCATGGGCAGAGATGTGTCATGCACCACAAAAATATCTTTCTTGGTTTTGTTGCTGTGTTCATCTTCTGGTGTTCAGTGCCTAATGTAAGCTCTATTTTCACCCTCTGTGAAGGTCTTTGCACCCGTGAGTCACTGGACATCAGCTGAAACACCTCCCTCACATTGTATCAGCTGGTATCATTTGACCCAACTCGAGGCTACTCTAACGTCTATTAGTGAAGCAAAGTTGAAACTACTTTTTCCTTGTCTAACCGCCTGGGAACTTATATGCTGTGTTTCCTGTGGGCAAAGAATTCAGTCCTAAAATGATTAATACTTCTATATATTTCTTTTAAAAATATTGTCTTCTTGGGACTATTGGGACAAAGCACAGTGAGTTTTGCCATCAATAATTCATCCACATTTTGTTCTTAATTACAGTATCTGATTGTCCATTTATTCCACATTACCTTTTCCTGAACTCATCCCAACAAGTGCCTGTTGTCTATTCATTTCTTTTCTCTTCTCCCCTTTTCCTCCCTGGTAACAACACTAGATTGGTTCTTCATGTATGTCACTCTTTCTGTATCTTTCTGTAACAGTGTTCTTATGTAGTATTTTTCCCTTAGTGAACTGACTTCTCTCCATGTGATGTCCTCTAGACTCATCCATGCTATATAGTGTTTTACAAATTCTTCATGGCTTTATGATGTTGGATAGCACTCCATTGTGTGAATGTATCATAGTTTCTCTCTCCACTCATTCATTGATAGCATTTTGGTTGTTTGCATCTCTTTACTGTTGTGAATAATAGTGTAGTTAACATGGGTGTTCTAATATGTTTCTTGCTTTACTTCTTATTTCTTTAAGATATATTCCTAGTATTGAAATGTTGTTGTTGTTGTATATTATTGAGTTGATACCAACTCCTAAATGGACCTTCCAGTGGTTTTGCAGAGGCAGTCTGGTGGCCTAGTGGTAAGAAACTGTGCTGCAACCCTGAAGGCATGAAGTTCAAAATCACCAGATACTCTGCAAGAGAAGGATGGGCAGTCTCCTCCAAAGCAATTAACTGCCTCTGAAAACCTGCCAGAAGGTCAGCTATGGGCCAGTTCCAACTTGACAGTACACATCAACAACAATAACAAGTGACACAGGAGGAGAGAGCCCAACTTTATCCCACAGAGCAGCTGGTGGATTTGAACCCTTTGCCTTTAGGCTGACAGCACAGCTTCTTACCACATGGCCAAACTGTCTCCCATAGTGATTACTACATTCTGTGCCCCCAGCAACAGGGCAAGAGTGTTCCAGCTGTGCCAGACCCTGACCAGCATTTGTTAGTTGCTGTCCTTATGAGCTTTGCTATTGTTGCTGGGATAATATGGTCTCTCAATATTGTTTTTATATCTGTTTCTGTAAAAGATGTCGATCTTGAGCATTTCTTCATGTGTTTGTTGGCTCTCTGAATGTTTTCTTTAGTCAAGAGTCTTTGCATATATTCTGTCCATTTTGGTATTGAATTGTTTGTCTTTTTCTTGTTGGGCTGCTGGAGTTTTCTATAAATTTTGGGTATAAGTGCCTTATCAGATATGTTATTGCCAGATATTTTCTTCCTAGTTTATAGGTTCTTTTTCACTCCTTTTTAAATTTTGTTTTTTTGCACATAGGGATTTAACTTTTAGAAATTGCCTCTTTTTGCACCCACCTTGTTCAGTAAATTGCCTTCAATTTCTGTGCTTCTCAAATTAGCTTAGTGTTCCAGGCCCAACTTCTGTTTTGCCTGAAGTTGAGGATGTTACAGTACAAACCTGTTGTTCAGATCACTGCTGTGAGTCATAGTTGACTTGACGACACCTATCAATAACCTGTGTTATGCGCTAGATACCACCATTCTTGCTGAAAGTGAGGACTTGAGGCAATTGTTGCAGAGGATCAAGGGATATAGCCTTCAGTTTGGATTTCATCTCAATGCCAAGAAAACAAAGAAACTTGCCACTGGATCGATAGGCAACATTTTGGTAGATGGAGAACAGATGGACACTGTTAACACTTCATCTTACTCAGATCCACATTAACACCCTTGGTGTCAGGAAATCATGAGACATATAGCATTGGGGAAATCTACGGTTAGGGCTCTCTCCAAATTATTGAGGAGCAATGATGTGAGTTTGAGGACTAAGGTGTGTTTGAGTCAGATCATGGTCTTTCTGATCACTTGCTATGCATCTGAGACCTGGACAATGAATAGAAATGACGGTGGAAGAATTGATGCGTTTGAGCTGTGGAGTTGGAGAAGAGCACTGAATATCTTATGGACAACCAAAAGAAAAAATAACTATATCTTGGGGAGGGTGCAGCTAGAGTGCTCTCGCAAAGATGATATTGCTTAGCCTCACATACTTTGGAGATGTTGCTAGCCAGGAGGGGCTATCCCTTGGAGAAGGACATGAATGGTGGAGGGTCAGTGAAAGAGAGGAAGCCTTTCAAATATGTGGCTTTGCATGGGCAATGGGATGTCAGGAAGTGTGACGATGGCACAGTTTAGGACAAGGTTCACATCCACTGTTCATAGGGTCACTATGAGTCATACTCGATGGCATCTAACAACAACAGCAATAGCAACAATCTGAGTCAGAATGAAATAAAACATACAGACGTTCTAGAAGAAACTTATAGTCAGCCTGACCGTAGGTGGTGGTGTTTGGAGGTGTGTCAGGGAGGAGGGAGGTGTGACCTCCTCAGGTCTAACTTTCCAGGGGTTATCCAAGATGTTTAGGAAGGATGATTTTCTCATCTTGTCAAGAAGCTCATTTCCCTGTTAACGTTCTACTAGAGTCTCACGCGTGTATTCTTTCCCTATGTGCTTTCTCTTCTCAAATAAGAATGTTTACAAAAGCAAAAAATGTTTTTATTCAACAGAAAGACATTTTGTTTCTTGAGTCCCCATCAGTGGGTGCTAGAAATAAAGGATTAAATTATCTGGTTTAATAAGACATGGCATCATTCTTCATGGAAAAAAGATAAAAGAGAATCTAAAATTATTCCATAATTATTTTACAATCATCCAATTTCATACACAGAATTGTTGTTGTGTGCCATTGAATCATTTGTGACTCATAGCGACCCTATGTACAAGAGCCCTAAATGCCCTTCTATCCTGTGCCAACCTCACCGTCTCAAACATACTCATTCCCACCACTCCACTCACAGAATCAATCCATCTCATCGAGGGTCTTCCTCTCCTG